GAATTTATATTAACTTTGAACTTACAAGGAAGAAAGCTATTATAACCTTCTACAATACTTTGGCGAGGTCACTTGTTTCTTCACATAAATTACACCTTCCTTATGTACACAGTGGCCTAAACGGTCAGGTCAGAGACTCCTATGGCTTAGACCTAGTCATCCTTAATTTTGAACTGCAGACTAAATGAAAGACAACCAGTTGGCAACATCTGTCACCTAAAACGGCTACATTTAACCAAATAGCGAAATTGACTATCACTTTTATAACGTGCCAAAAGCAGAAAGGTGAAGCATGTTTGGTAGCAAAGGAAGTTTTCGGATCCACATTCCGATACATGGATCACTAAATCATGTGAGATGTTATTCGGATTGCTACGTACAGTTTTGGTCCAGCTGCTTCCACACTACAGGAAATATATGAATATATTTGGAAGAAGTGCAGAGAGAAAGGGATATAAGAATTATACATATGAGAAGAGCTTTATAGTTTCGGATTTGTTTTCTTTGAAAAGCGGAAGAGTTAAGAGGCACTTGAATCGGGCGTTCTTGTTTTCTAGGAGGTTAATGTTTGGACATTATTCTTACCAGATGTTTATTTTAGTAGTGAAACGAGAAGGATGGAACATGAATCTGAATATTAGGAATAAAAAGTTTAAACTATGGAAGTTAGATGCAGATTTGATCTTTAACAGAGTTTTTTTTTCGGTTAAATTTATAAACTTCTGGATTTTTTTTTTCTGGTGATTTGATTTGTGATCTTAATTGGAATTAGCCGTCTCTAATTTTGAAGTGATGGACTAGAGGGAAGGCAACTAGTTAACACCACACACCACTAACTCTTGGGCTATTCTATGCTAACGAATAATTGTATTGACAGTCACATTATAACGCTCCCGCAGTTGAAAGGGCGAACACGTTCTGGAACGGGTTTCAATCCCGCGACCCGTAGATTGCGAGTCGGTTGCCTTAATCACTAGACCATGCCAGACTCACTGTAGTTTTCGAAAGATTATTTTTATATAAAAACTATTTTGGGATTCAAGGGGGAAAAATATGTGTCAGAAGAACCATATAAACTTACGAAACCATTCATGTAAGTTGCTAATAGTAAACTATTAGTTTCTTTGGTAGTGAACGAACCCAGAAAGCACGGACTAAGATAGCTTCTATTCTACTCTTCATTACAAACAGTCACTTAAAATAAAATGTAGATCATGAAATTAGTTTTCTGTATCTTTCTTGACTCATCTAAGTGTTCTTGGGATGACTTTAAAGTTAATGACAGAAAACAGCAATATTGAAACTGTTCTAATATTAAAATGTTAACTGTAAAATTATATATTGAATAGAACTCATAGTTGAGAAATATCTATTTTGATTGTTATTATTAATGTTACCTATTTTTATATTAGAGCAGTTTTAGCATGAGTTCGTGACCATGGATACACAAGATTTAAAGTATGTCATTTCTGGAACTATGACCAAAACCAACGTAATTATGAATTGAGCATACTATTTTGTCTGTTTGTTTTGTTACTTGTGATTGAATCGAAAAGGCGAAAGTTACAAGTCACCATAGGTATTGTGTTTAAAGTGTTCCTAACTTTTGTTATACGAAAAGAAAGGATAGCAAACGTGATTTTATGCAAAAAATAAATAGTTTACTTTATATTTACAACAAGAAACAACTAAAGGAAAACAAATTCGCAGAAATTACATTGTTTGAAACAATACATTATCCGAATAAAGAAATAGTTCTGGGTTAACAAAAATACATCATCAAGGTCACATTTCTGTAAAAAATGTGTGTAATACAGAACAAACAACCCATTTATTCATTTTTGTCTCCTTTTCCAAAATTCGAATTGTTCGTGAACTTATATGATGTATTATTTTTCTTTATCATTGTCAAAAGTATTTCGAAGTTACATTGGCTGCTCTGGATAGTGTTTCTCTTGTGTAAAGCATTGTTAAAAGTGTCATTGAGATACATGAACTTCTTTGTTAAAACACTATCACGGATGTCGTGAGTTAGAAGAGTGTTTGTATAAATCAATGTCAAAAGTGTCCTTGATTTTCATGAACTGCTTTGTTAAAATAGTATCATGGATGTCGTGAAGATACAAAAGTGTATGTTGTAAAAAACATTGCCAAAATCGTCTTTAAGTTACAAGAATATTGTCAGAGTAATCTGGAAGTGTATGAGCTACATGTGTGAAAACGCTGTAAATAAGTGTCGGGGCGTTACATGAACTGTTTTTGCTGGTGCCACAAGGTCAGTGAAGTTTCAACGACGTTCAGTTACACATGTATTCTATCATTGTACTAAAATCGTGACAATGATGACTTAGTACTCTAGTACATATATAGAACCTAATACTCGATCGTTTAGAATTCAAGAACGTGGGAAGGTTTTAATACATGAACAATAAAGACACCCCCCGTGACAAGGGAGAGAATAACCCAGCGTGAAGTCGGGCTCATATAATACTGACAGGTGATGTCCTGAATTGTAAGCACTTTATATAAGTGTATACATAATGTTCTATACCTTAACCCTCTACTCCTCCTTTCAGTGGGTTATGGGCTAAAGTTTTCAGTAAACTCAATAGGACACTTATATTTAAATATTTTAATGAATGTTCAAACATGAAGAGAGTTCCATGAATCTTCCCTTTATTCTCTCTGGATCTTTAACTAATTAACAGTAGAGGTTTTTATACTGACAAGAACTGGTTTTGGAATTTCACTGGTTCTTCCAACAGCCACCAACGTTGTGAGTTTAATAAAAACAGATAGTATATTAGGCTTATTATATATGGCATGTATTTATAGTACAAATTAAATGAGAAAATTACTACATTTATGAAATTACAATAAGGTAAACTTTAATATATTCCATTTTAAATAATTATTAGCTATGACTAACGAGGTCTGGGTTAATGAGTTACACAGCAGTACATATGAGCAGAGACTTGTATACATAAAATATCGTACTGAGAACCAAACATTTGTAGACAAGAAAAAGAATGAATTGAGAAAAACTTACGTGAAAACAGCGCAGTAATTTGTAACTGAGATATGTTTTTCATATACCAGGTAGAACCTGCCATACAAACATACCTTTTTAATTAGGTTGTTCATCCGTGGCTTTCATTATGCTTTAAATTAGTTTTCTCATTACTTGTGGAACCCTATGGTTTCAACTTTGTTACACTCAAAAATAACAAACAAAAAACACATATTATGATATATTCTTGAAACAGTGTTCTTCTCTTTCATGGTGCAGTTTTTAAATGAAACTTCTCCTCAAAGCAGACAGTTCACCGCCATTTTCTTCATTGTAAAACAACCAGCCATATTCTTTTCAGCTATGTATACAACACATATTATTGCAGATAGTCACACGACTTAGTTAGATCCTGAGTGTGGTTAGAACACGTACTGCACCTTTTTTCTCGTTAATGTCCATTTGATTCAAATATACAATGCCATTCACTTTGTCAACGTATTTAGTTGTATATCGGATTCATTTTCCCATGTTATACTAAAATACGACATTCCTGAGTTTATACTTATAATTAGATACGAATAAATTATACTGAACTTTTCGAAACCTTTCATGAATTTCATTAGCTTGGAAAAAGATATTAATATCGATAAATATCGTGAAAAGTCAAAAATGAACTGAAGTTCCAAATATATTTAATATCGATTGCAATATTTAAAAAAGTGGCATTTTTTTGTGTGCGCAAGAACTCTTGGATTCAAATAATTTTCACAAATTTTTAAAAGTTCACAGTCCATTACTTTACGCACTATGATTTCCTATCACAGAATTAGCAAAGAAAATTCTGTCGTAAGTGGTCCATATGACATTGGTATTGAACAGACGCCCCGATCTGTCAAAGTTTTTCGAAAACATGTGTGTTCGTTCCTTTCAATTTTTGTCAAGGGTGAGGGTGGTCCCCAAACCTCTTAACTGACGCCTGGTAACGAATAATGCAAGAAATTAGCTTCAGTCCCTGTAACCAACGGCACCTGGTAATAAAAGTTTATACAATTTTTTATAAGATCCCTGTTAGCTAATCTAATACAGACCTGATGCTCATATCACTGTAATTTCTCTTACTATTTCTAGATAAGTTAATTGTATTATACAATCCTGCTTGCTTTAATCATTTCTGCACCTTAATGAAGCAAATAAGACAGAAAAAAATAAGTGTTTTTAACTAGTTAACATGATACTGTAAATTCTTGTATGATGTAGCAGGGAACAGCTGTCCCTCTTTCTAGTAATTTCTTGTTCTGGTGTAACTTTCGAATTAGTTCTCTGCATATTGCCACATCTGGTAATAATTTACAAGTAGACATAATCTCATTCTAGCGTTCTCTATCCGTCCCACGAAGTTACTAATACTGTATGATGTTGGCTCCAAATACCACACCTTCACCCACAGTAACATATTTGTTTGAATCGATCATTACATATTTTGGGTAAATGCCTCATTGAAATATGTTCTTACTTTTAAATCCTAACGTTGAACAAATAAATTGATTAACTTTATCCCAATCGCTAATCGTTTTACTTTATTTATTTATTTTTACAGAATATTAAATGTACATGGCTTGTTTGATTAATGATTTTGGTAGGAAAATGCTCCACTTGTATCTTCTACAGTGTTATTGTTAAGAACTGAACTCGTGCAATTATCATTAATTATACCCGTAAAGCATTTCATGTAGGTCTGCACTTGGCAGTATATTTGAGGACAATTTAACATTCCAAATTCCTGATTAGTGCATAAGGCTTAATTTTGTTTCCTTAAAGTGTATGTTGTATAATTACTCAAAAAAAAAAAAAAGTTTTTAAGCTTCCCTCTTCAGTTTCATATTTTCTAAAACAATCGAAAGTTTATAATTTAATCTTTCAATGCATTCGTAATAGGAGGATCTTGGAGAAACGTATCTCATTTTAACTTAATTTTCTTACGCTTTAGAGACGGCACTGATCCTCAGAGGAGAGTTTTCTAAAATGCGCACTATGAATGCAACACATGATATCAGAAAGAACCTTCGACTTCGCTACCCTAAGGACCCAGCAAAAGAGAGAAGTCAGGAGTAAGTATCCGATACTTAAATGACAATATGTTTTTGTTATTTTGACACAATTTTCTGAAAAGGTGGATTAAACGAAACATTTTACTTCCTTTCAAAACGTTTTGCTGATTATTTACACGTATTCATCGCCAGTACTGCTACACAACACTGCTTATATATATATATAAACCACCAAGCTTACCGCTAATCAACTTGAGAGGGGGTGTGTGTGTCAAGATTAAGAAGAAAATTGTCGTAAATTTTATTTTTAAGTTAAGCAGGAAGTCCACGCCTAACAGTAGATGCATATATACATCTAACAAATATGTAGTTTTTATTTAATAACAATCGGGATCATGTAATATTTCAAGAGAAATGCGCCCTACCGAGAATCAATCACGCTTCCAACAAGGTGAGATTTATAATATTAATAATATGAGGTTTGTTACACTGTAAATTTCATACCAAGGTATCGAAGTTATTCATATATATGCTTTGGAGCTGTCTTTAAATGTCCATTACCGACCGCTTCAAATTAGTACTTTGTATCCAATGTTAAATCGGTTTAGTTGCCATCAGTTTAGACTGTCTCTGTATTTTCATTGGTCCATTGAGAATTAATGACCTGAATGTATGAACAGAGAGCTGTCATTGACCTCAGACTGTTCTCTGACTAGTACAAATTGAAAGAGTGATTGTAGTAATATCCTGTTTGTAAGATTAAGTTTAAGGGTTTATTTAGTTCTGTAGGAGTCGTAAAACAACACAGTCCTGAAGTCTATCAACTTCCATTTGGTATTATCTGTAATCTCTAAAACTTAAATTCAATTATATGCAAAATACAAAACCCAGAGAAAATAAATTTGGAAGTCATTTTTTATTTCTTAAACACAAAGATAGAAATGTATAATTTAGTGTAAAATATTAGTCTATAATCACAGCTCACGAACAATCATACATTTGAAAGTTCAAGGCGTTTGTCTCTCATATTAATAAACACAGAGTTACGATTCTCTTGCCATGCCGCAGCTTTTAGTGGAAAATTACATTTCATTCAGGACACTTCTACTAAAAAAGACGGAAGTTCTAGTTATACAGATATGGTGTTTGTCGGTCATAACATGTTAATATGTTTAATTCAAATCTTCTCGAAACTAACAAGAAATAAATGTCAGGGTGGATTATCTCGTTAGTCGTCATAAGTAAGTTGTTCACATGTTTTTATTAAATTCACACATTAACTTTAATTTTGTAAGTTATTTTATTATTTTTCTTGTTTTCAGATATTGCGTTGTATTTGAAATTACAAAATCTCATCACAAGTGCTCATCTCTGGCAGAAGATGCCGCAAAACTAAAGAAGGGAGATCGCGTGTGTGTCGCATGTGAAGAAGCAGCTATGAGGAAACATCTAGGTTATCGTTGCACGGGTCACGGAGTCGACGGTAAAGCAACTCGCTGGGCTGCCTTGGACACCTCAAACTGCCATGGCCGCTGGGTTCGAATGAGTGAACATTCCGTCTGTCCTTGCCACTCAGACCCTACACCTGATTTCATATTCGTCTAAAGACTGTGAACAACAGTCAGAGTTCAGGTGAAAAGAGCTGAGTGGTAGACCTAAATTTAACTTTTTTATTGTAATGAAATAATTCGTTAAGAGGGTTAAAATGGGGGGGGGGGGATTACAATCTCTTTTACACATGCTGAGTAGTGGATTTTTGAGTAATATGTTTAAATCTGTTAAGAATAAACTCTACCCTAAACTTTATATCATACTAACTTTAAGATTATGGACAATCAAAAACCGTGGAACACTATCAATTCGTAGCAGATTTATTAACTTTAAGGAATATTTGAGTGCAACATTTGTTTTTCTAAAAAATAAATAAATATTTCAGTTTTTCCTTTTGATGTTATAGTATATTCAAAACGTTACTGCTAATGAATGAAATTAATTTCTGTACTGATAAAAATGTTTGTGGCAAGCAAACGTAAATAGTATTGATATATATATAAATTTTCTATTTTATTACATTTGAATCATATAAATTGAAAGATGGGAATGAATTTTGAGCAGTCGAGAAAATTTTAAATTTTGAGCTTATAATTTTATGTATGCACTTGATAAACAAATATACTTTTTACCTTATCGCCGTTAGGGGGCATTTGTGATACTGTAATTTTATTTCTTTAATTCCTCAAATATATCCGTTACACCTTCTGCATTGTATTCTATCATGTTATTGCGTTACAGAAGCGATATTGAAAATGGTTCTATTTTATAACTTTTTCTTTTTGTTCAGATCAAATTTTAAGAATGCTATTATTTCTGAACAGCATTTGAAAAAAAAAATAGAAGTTTTTAGTTTTAAATATATAATCTTATTTTTGAATTTGGTGAACAAAGAAACAAATAACAGTTTTACAACAATATGTGTGCTGAATAATATAGAAGTATAAATTAATAACATTATTGCCATCCATTGTTCTGATTCCGTACACAGTTTCACATTGTTACCATTACCGTACATGATTTGATAACCATTTCCCCGAATTTTTAAGAAAACTACCTCACCAAATGTATAGAAATCACTTCTGTTGTTGTGTTTCTGAAAATTATTACAGTTAATCTATCATAATTGTTAGACTAAAATTTTGATTGATATGTGAACACAGATAATAGTGAAAATATTTTAGCCTTAAGGGATTTTTACTAATGAAAAATTTCTAGATTCCAAGAAATTTTGAACAGTTGACAAGCATTTGATTTTAGAATCATATGTATTTAAATTAAAGAAGGCCCAAATGGTAGCTATGACTTTAGTATCCTTTTTCTACTCATAAGAATACGATTGGTGAAACTTCTAATGTTACGTCAATGTGATATAGTGGTAGTTTAGCTGAAATGCTTTTAATAGTTGAGAAGAGTGTGAAATGTGCTAAACAAGCTACATACCCATGCATGCTTATTAACTTGATACATAGAGCATCAGTAGTTTTTGATCTGATTTTCAGTGTGCACATGTCTTTGTTTGGAATTATTTTATTTGAGAAGGTGAGATAGTGATTATCATGGTATGTAGTAATTTAGTATTATTTTGATACTCAGCTTTTCATACAGGAGTTATTATATATATGCCTCATTGTTTGTGAAGTGTGTATTTGTTTGGAATTAACTATAGGAGTCTTTTTGTCTGTTACACATATTTTCAGTGTCATATTTTCTGTAGGGATTGTTTGAGTGAATTGGACATATATTAATTTAGATTTCAAATATGGGGCCACCACTCAAGCAATACCTGTGATTGTAATAACTTACTGAAATCAAACAGAATGGTAAAGAGTTTGACGACAAGTCTAACGTTAAAATATATGTGATGTTTATGAATGGCAGGAGAATCGAAAGTTTTTGTCAAACTGTATTTTCACATTGCTTTTCCAACGTACTTTTAACATACAACTAATATTTTTGTTTTTACTGATTTTATTAACATCGAGACCTCAAATTCTTTCTTTTATAGCATTAGAAATGTTAGTTTTGTAATAAAGTAATCTTTATTCACAGTCTTTATCTGTTGTATCATTTTCCTACACAGTCATCATACAAAACATGAAACACCTAAAATAATTTTTAATCCGGAAATTCTAGTTCAGCTAATCAACAACAACAACAAAAAAAAACAATATTGGAATAAGAAGAATGAATCTACGTGAAAAGAGGGATTCTTGGAGAATTATTTCCAGTGTCGAAAGTTTAAAAAGCGAGAGTAATGTTTTCAGCATGAACTTTTATCACATGTGTTGTAATTTCGTAATAGACACAGGAGGAGTCGACAGGATTTTCTTGTGGATGTTTTTTTTCTAAGTGGCATTTATTTCTGTTTATGGTATATCTTCATGAAATATGTGTACATGTGTGTATTTATATATACATACACGTAAAACTGCATGTGTTTGTTTGTTTGTAATTAAGCAGAAAGCTACGAAATGGGCTATCTGTGCTCTGCCCACCACGGGTATCGAAATCCGGTTTCTAGCGTTATAAGTTAGCAGACTGCATGTGTTATAATGTGAACTCGATGATGAACAAATTATGTTGAAATAAATATTCGCGCGAGTTAAAAAAATAAACCAGATACTGTTTTCTCATTACTTAATTGAAGTTTATTTGTATATCGTGATAATATCTATGTTTTTAGTGATAACTGTTTAACTATTCCCCACCTATAAAATACAAAGTAAATATACAGTCGTTTGAATCCTTCCGTTTAACCACCATATCATACTGTTCGATCTGATGTTGATGTGAATACACAACCACAGCCTTCTAAAGAGTATTTAGTTGCCACAGAGTAAATGATAATATTGTTACGACAGCGGAAGTCACGTGACTCTAGTAACACGTCATGATATTCTGGAAGGATCATGTCTGTTCGTGGCAACTCTGGTCTTTTCTACGCGCCCTCTATTCTTGTATATAAGTGCGCCAGATAAAGCAAAATTAATTAATCAGAGAATAATAGCAGACAGAGAGATTGAAGATATAGACGGACAATTGAGTCAAGCGCAGTAGTAAGTAAAGTGCGTGAATCGTTCGTTGAGAATTATAGCGTGTGTTAAACTGATTGTGGAAATTAAGTGTATTGCAAAGTTGTATTGAGAAAGAATAAAGTAGTTTTATTTAAGAAAGGACTTGTATCGCTGAAGTTTTTCGGAAGGAATTTTTACGGGAAATTAACAAACGACCAGAGACGTAACAATATTAAGGATTTATACTGGCCTAAACGTGGTTTTTTGTCGATATGGTTTGCCTGGTCAGTATGATATAGAACAGCATGGTACTTACCCATTCATATTAAAATGAGAAACGGAACGGCTGGTCGTATGTTATGATTCTGCCAAGGATATTGGTTTCGCTATTAACCTGCAAGTAGATATGTCGGTTCGTGGAATGAATTTATTTGTGATCCAAAACAGTTTGTTCGCATTTCTTACCCCCTCCTTCTGGCGACGCCTCTGCTAAGCATATGCAACTTATATACAATTTTATATGACATTTTTACCGAGATCGAAGAACATTCTTTGATCGAAAGGTGTCATGTGACTTATACATTTCGTGAGAATTATAAAAGAAATGTTTTATAAAAGTTTGAAAATAATTCTTTAATTCTAGTAAACATGACATCACTGATCGCAAAGAACAAAGTGCTGTACTGTTCAAGTGATAGTAGCGCCATCTGTCAGGCGTTTTTATTCACTTGCAGAAATAAAAATATAAAGTCACGAAAATCAGCGTTGTGTAAAAATAATATATGTACAGAAGAAAAAAAAAGAGTATTTAATAAATTAAGTCGGTATTGGCTAAGAGATAACTTTCTTTGAACTCAAACTTAGTACAATTACTGCAATACTTGTAATCTAGAAAATTAAAATGTTAATAACCATCTTAGCTAGAAGGTGATATAAAATTTTACGATAGTCAATCATAGTTAATAATTTAAGTTAGAGCTTTATCACAGAGATTTTTTGTTCACTATCAATATTATTTTAGTTAACCGCGACAGAAGCAAGGTCTCTTGATATTTCCGAATGCACTAACTGAATACAGTGATTTATTTATTAGAAAATATACTAATTGTAACTTAAGTTAACAATGCAAGCATTACAATATAAATCTGAAACTTGTTGATTAACTTGGCACGTTACAAGTTGTTTTACATTAAACACTATCAAGATCTGTTCAAACTGTTTCAAGAAAATTAAGAGTACACTGAGTGGTCACAAGTAAATAGACACCTAATTTTTCGTCATTTAACTGATTTATGCTAACTAATTTGTGTTCACAGAGTACTATATAAATGAAAATGGTCCGCACACTAATT